TGGGGGAGGGCGGAGGGGGGGGGAGGGTGCTGTGGGATGCGGGGGTGAGAGGGATGCGGGGAGGGGTCGTTGGGTGGGGGGGGCCTTTGGGGAAAGAAATGCGGAGGCTGGAATGTGATGAGGGGTTTGCCGAGGGAGGCAAATCACAGCACGGATCCCTGGGTGTTGGGATCCCTGTTAGGGCCCGGGGGGGAGGATCTGGCCGGGGGGAGTCCCGTGGGCAGGGTGAGGGGGGTGGGCCGAGGCTGGGCTGAGCTTCTGGGGCTGCGGGGAGGGGAACGGGGAGGCCCTGGGGAGGAGGAGGGGGGTGGGGGAGCAGGGAGTGTCCCCTTGAGGGCAGGGAGGAGCGAACCTGGAGCCGGGCCGGGGCCTTCCCCACCCATCCTGCTGCCAGCTGCCCCTCAGCGCCCTGCTCCGTGCCCTCCTCACCCCCCCCCCACCCCCAACACTCCACCCCACTGCCCGGAAATGTCTGTAACCCCCTTTGTCTGCCCGTGTAGATTCAGAGAGTCCCGAGGAGATGGCAGCGGTGAAGGGAACGCCCGAGAGGGGCGAAGGAGATGGCAGCAGTGACAGCAGCTCACCGGCTGGGGAGGGCCAGGTGAGTGAGTGCAGCCCCTGGCACGCTCCGTGTCACGGCTTCCTGGCTCTGCTTGCCCTGGCACAAAGTCCACAGCCTCCCTGTTTGCTCAGCTCAGCCGAGCGTTGCGCAGCCTGTTTTCCCTGGGGTGAGGAAGAGAGCGCGAGGGCTCGTCACCGTGACCCCAAAGGGGTGACACCACCCCCCTGTGCCTGGTTGGGGTGTCCAACACCAACTGCAAATCCCAGAAGCTGCTGTCCTGCAGCTTTACAGGAGCTCTCACTGCGTTTGGGCGGGGGAGGCTCTCTCACGCTCCCTCCCTCCTTCCCTCCCCTTTCTTCCCTTCCCAAAGGGTTTTTCTCTGTGGGTTCAATCTGTCCCGGCCTGACAGCCCTGTGTCTGGCAGTTGTATTTTTCCGGCTGTGCGTGGGTTTTCTCAGGAAGGAGTGTTTATCTTTTCCAAGTACGCTCCTCCCTGCCTTTTTTTTTTTTTTTTTTAATTTCTTTTTTTCCTCCTTTTCTTTTCGGCCTGCCCACGGGGCCGCCCTCCCCTCTCCTTTAACTCCTCCTCTCCCCTCTCAGGAGTCGCAGCCGTCCCCGCTGGCTCTGCTGGCTGCCACCTGCAGCAGGATTGAGTCTCCCAACGAGAATTCCAACAGCTCCCAGGGCCAGCAAGGCGGCAGCGGTGAGTTGGACCTGACGGCCGCCGCTGCCCAGATCGCGCAGTCGGCCAACGGCTGGCAGATCATTTCCACTGGCTCCACCACGCCGACGCCTTCCAAGGAGCAGGGCAGCAACGGCAGCAACGGAGATCCCTCCAAAAGCCGTCCTGTGAGCACGGGGCCCTACGTGGTCACGGCTGCCTCCAACCTGCAGAACCAGCAGGTGCTCACGGGCTTGCCGGGCGTCATCCCCAACATCCAGTACCAAGTCATTCCCCAGTTCCAGACCATTGACGGGCAGCAGCTCCAGTTTGCCACCACCCCCACCCAAGTCAACGTGCAGCAGGATGCCTCTGGGCAGCTCCAGATCATCCCCGGCACGAACCAGCAGATCATCACGAGCCGAGCGGGGACGGGCAACCTCATCGCCATGCCCAACCTGCTGCAGCAGGCCGTCCCCATCCAGGGGGTGGGCTTGGCCAACAACACCCTCTCAGGGCAAACCCAGTACGTGGCCAACGTCCCCGTGGCTCTCAATGGCAACATCACCTTGCTGCCTGTCAACAGCGTGGCCGCCAGCCTGGCCCCCACCTCTCAGACCGTCACCCTGAGCGGCTCCGGCTCCCCGGACAGCAGCTCCCAGCCCACCACCTCAGGTGCTGCCATCAGCTCGTCCAACATTGCCACGTCCCACGCCACTTCCGGCTCCTTTTTTACCAACGCCAACAGCTATTCCACCACCACTACCACCAGTAACATGGGCATCATGAATTTTTCCAGCAGTTCCACAGTGGGGACGAACGTCCAAGTGCAGACGCCCCAAAGGGCCCCCAGCACGGACTCCCTGCAGAGCCAGGTCTCTGGGGTGGCTCTGCAGCCGGGGCAGCAGAAAGAGGGGGATCAGAGCCAGCAGTCGCAGCAGCAGCAGCAGCAGATCCTGATCCAGCCTCAGTTAGTCCAGGGGGGGCAAACGATCCAAGCCCTGCAGACCGCCCCGCTCTCCGGCCAGACCTTCGCCACCCAAGCCATCTCACAGGATGCCTTGCAGAACCTCCAGCTCCAGGCTGTGCCCAACTCCGGGCCCATCATCATCCGAACACCCACGGTGGGGCCCAACGGGCAGGTGAGCTGGCAGACCATCCAGCTCCAGAACCTGCAGGTGCAGAACCCCCAGGCGCAGACAATCACCTTGGCCCCCATGCAGGGAGTGTCGCTGGGGCAGACGGGCAGCACCAGCACCACGCTCACCCCCATCGCCTCCCTCCCCAGCGGCACGGTGACGGTCAACGCCGCCCAGCTCTCCTCTATGCCAGGCCTCCAGACTATTAACCTCAGTGCCTTGGGAGCGTCTGGGATCCAAGTACACCAGCTGCCGGGGCTGCCGCTGGCCATCGCCAACGCTACCGGTAAGTGGGATGGGCTTGCTCCCCTCCCTGAGCCAAGTGGAGGAAATCGAAGGTGAAACCGTGGTGCCTGGGCCCGGCGTTGTGCTGGTGGCACCGAGCTGGAGCCGGATCCGGGGGTAATGGATGTGGGATCCAGCTGGCAAGCAGCCTGGTGCTCGTGCCAGCTCTAGAGAGGAACAGTGAGCCTCTGCTGGTGGCCAAGTGACACCGAAAGCAGCTTTGGGGAGTTCTGGCTCTGGTGAGCTGTCTGCTGGCTGAGCAGATGCGAGTGGAGCACAGGGAGGAGAGGTGGGCAGCGAGCAGGGCTGAGCCATTAGCTGAGGGTGAGGCACAAACGCTGGGGGGGGGCGGGGGGCTGAGCAGCGCCCTGGGGAGGGCACAGGGCTTGGGGACGGGGGGCAGGAAGAGCCACAACTGCGTGTAGGACGCAGAAAAACACAGCAAAAGGTCTTCAGCAACCTGCCGCCGGCCGTCCCCCCCGCCCTCCTCCAGAAAAACAAACAGCCCAGAAAGCCCTGGGGAGCCGCTGCAGCAGCGGAAGCTCTCGCCGGGTGTGTTTGTGCTGAAGGGACGCCGTGTTCCCGTTGCAGCCTGGGCTGCTCCCGGCGTCTGCCCCCAAAAAAACTGCCACGTGTGAGAAGGAATCGCTGCCGCACGAAGCTCCGCTCGTTGCTCGCTGCTCGTTTTCCTTGTTTGTAACGTTCTGGCTGCAGCTAAAAGGGCCGCGGCTGGATTTAGAGGCAGCGCAGGCGTTGCTCAGCCCCGCTTCCTTCTCGCGAGACGACGTGGCCGTTCGCCCGCGGTTGTTTTGCAGCAGTATTTTGGGCTGTTGCTACAGCAGCTCGGCTCGCAGGCATCCGCCGGGGTGTTGCAGGCAGCGGCGCGGTCAGGATCTGCTTCATCCCCACAGCTCCATTGCCCCGAACCTCGTGGGAGCAGCGTGGGCTCGGGGGGCAGCGGGGGTCTGTGGCGTCGTGCTGCATGTGTGCAGTGTTTGAAAACCACCACCAGCACATGGGGGAATCCTGGTGTGTTGCGTGGCTCTGCCCTCAGAGGGAGTTCCGCTCCCGAGACCAACCCCCAGCTCCCCTCCTCCTCCTCCTCCTCCTCCTCCCCCTCTTCTTTCCTCTCTTTTTCCCCCCCAACTCTGCAGCGCCTTTCGCAGCCTCTTTGCACGCCCTGTTGCATTTGCTGCCTGGGAGCCGGGAGGATGCGACATCGAGGCGACGCTTTGATGTTGTCAAGTTGGATCAACTTGGCTTCGGGTTTCAAAGGGTTTGTGGGGACCTGAGGCTGCAGGGCTCAGTGCTGAGCAGCGCCGACCCGCCTGCGTGAGGTCCTGGAGGGTTTCTGCCCTGCTGCTGCTGCTTCCACGTGGCTGAGGGTCCGTCTGTCGTGTGCAGCCCAGAGCAGAGAGGGGACAGATCCCCCTCGAGAAGAAGACAGCCTAAAAAGGGTTTTAAAATCAAAGCACAGCTCCCGGTGCACTGCGCAGCTGTAGTTCAGGCCACGATTGTATTAATTAGCTGACGGCTGCCAATTAGCAGCAGAGAGGTGAGCTCTGTGGCTGTGATGGGATGGCATGCAGGCAAACAGGCCCCCAACCGGCTCGGCCCCTCCCCACGTCCCTCCCAGTGTCTCAGTGCCACCATGCCCCAGCCCATAGGGAGCTCTGGGGTGAAGAAATGAGGTTTTTGGGGGGCTGCTGATGCTTTGGCACTGGGCTGCCCGTGCTCAGTGGGGTCACTGATGGTCCCTGCAGTGCCAGGAGGGGTCGTTCCGTGTCCCTGTGAGGTGGTGGCTGCGCCCAGCGGGGCTTTGGAGAAGTTTGCGATGCTGTGGTTTCGCTTCTGCCTTCTGCCCAATCTGTCGAGGAGAGCAGTGGGGCGTCAGTGACCCACAGCTCTGGTGTTGGCTCAGCCACAAACAGCCATCCCTGCCCCTCTGCAGCCCTGGTTGACGAGGAGCACTGCCTGGCTCCGGCATTTGCTGGTCAGTAGGCTGTGCTGGGGCAGTGCTGGAGCCCCCTGGTTTTGTGGCAGACAGCTGAGCATCGTTTTCCTGCCCTGGGAAAGGCCCCCCAGCTGTGGGCACACATGGAGAGTGGCACCGAGGGCTCTTTTTTGGGCCAGTCACGCTGCCTTGGAGGCATGCTGGTCATTCTGAGGATGCCAGAACATCCCCACTGGTGGGCAGAGATCCAAGGCACGTGGGGAGCCTCATCCCTGCACTGCTGGGGGACACAGAGGGACACGGAGGGACCGACCCCACCGCAGTGAGCGCTCCCCAGCCCCATCCACACTGCCTGAATCCACTCTGGACCCACTTATCACATCCCTACGGCCTTCAGGCCATCCCCAGGCTCCGACCCTCGCATGGATGAAGGCTCGTGGTCAAATCAAGGCATCGATCGGAGCCCCACGGATCCTCGGTGCAGCCAGCAGCCCTTTGGACCCCGGGTGCTGAGCGCATCCCCAGCTGTGCGCCCTGACTTCTCGTCTGCCGTCGGCACAAAGCCCCGATTGTCTCCATTTTGTTTTTAAGGGCAGCTTTGTAGCGTGGCCTTGATGAGACATCCACATGGCATCAGCCGCAGAGGGGAGGGGAGCTTTGGAACGGATCTCGGGCCAGCAGGCCCTGACAGGCTCTCCCCTTCACGCGCTGTAATTGTTTGTTTCACTCCGCCCATGACATCACTGCAGAAAATAATGACTTTGTGAAACTTCCTGCTCTGAACTCCGCGGGGCCGGACCCGAAATACTCCCAGCTCTTTGGCTGCCCTCTCCTTCAGCTCTGCGGGGTGAAAAGCGTGGTGTGACTGCAAGGCAGCACGCGGGGCCCTCCCAGCACCGCTGTCACAGCGTGGGGACTGCGGGCAGCTCTGCCCTTCCTCCTCCTCCTCCTCGAGGCCACCGGGATGCTTTGCAGCGCTGCTGGTCGGACTGGTTGGGTGTGCATAGCTGTGATTGTGCTCCAGTTTTCCCCACCCAGCTCAGCGCTGCCCTCCCCTCCCCTTCAGCCTGCACAGCTCAGAGCTGTGTTTTGGCCCCTGCTGGGTCTGAGATGTTACCAGTCCTCCTTGCAGAGGGCAGCAGCGAGGCCCAGCTTTGGGGTCTGTAGGTACATCCTGTGTGTGGGGGGGGATTTCTCTGCCCGTTGTCCCCTCCTGGCTGTGCTCAGGCCCTCGTTGCCCATCGCTGCAGGGCTTTCACTCGGCCCGGTGTGGTTCGGTCGGAGCTGTTGGTGCCGCAGGGTCGGTGCTGCAGCAGCGGAGTTTTCCAGCAGTGCAGGCACGATCTCAGCCTTGCAGCAATCCCAATGGAGAGCAGAGGGCAGAGGAGACGTGTGGGGATGGTTTTCAGTGCGACCGAGTTTGCTGGCACAGCCTGGGGGTCACGGTGTGAGCGCAGGAGGCGACGTCCCTGCGCACGACTGCGGGTGGCAGAGGCGGATGGGCGCAGACCTGCCAGCTCAGGGCCCATTTAGTGCTTCTCCAAAGGAAGTGTGATTAATGGTGACGCACGGAGACTTCCAACCATGGCAGGGGATCGCAGGGCTCACCGTGTGGCTTTTCAAGTCGTTCAACTGCAGAAGAAGTGGCAGTTACTCAATGTGCTGCAGCCTGACTTCGAATCCGCACCATCGCACGCGACTGAGCGGTGCGCATACAGCCGCCCCTGCCTGTAACTCAGAGAACTCGGAGGGATTGTTACAAAGATAGAGCTTGGCTCGCTGACATCAATGGCTTCCACTCGTTTTGCAGATGAGCGAGGAAATGAAAGGAGATAAAAATGGAGGGGCTGCATTACGACCCGCACTGCGCTCCTCGGTGATCCCACGGGATGTGATCTGGGAGAGCAGCGGTCGGACGGAGCTCACAGGCTGCCAAAAATAGAGAAGGAATGAAGGCAAGGAGGAGGAAATGGGACGAGGCGCAGCGTTGTTGGGTGCTGGGAAGGTTTGGTGCTGTGTTCCGTGCAGGGCTCACACTGTGCTGTCGGGTTTGGGGCTTTGCTGCACAGCGCCGATTTCTTTCCCTTCTTCCTCTCCTGCTCAGCACAGCTGTGGCTGCCAGCGCTGCTGTTTGCACAAGAAGCCGTTTCTTTCCAGCTCCTTCCCGGGAATGAACGTCGCTCCTGTCCCCTCTGGAGGTCACCCGGGGTGGCTCTGAGCAGCCCCGTCTCCCATCCTCAGAGCATTTCTCACCTCGGTTCACTTTGCTAAATAAAACCACCGGCTCCGAGCTTTGAGCAGCTGGAAGACAAGCAGCACTTTGTCTGCAGCGCGGCCTCCAGCCCCGAGCCCAAAGCTTTGGGCTTTTAATGGCAGGGCAGCAGGCAGGGCAGGGCCAGGAGGTCCCTGTGCCACCTCCCACCCCGTCCTCTCACAGCGCATCCCCCCCCGCTTTCTGCTTTCCGTGTGTTTGTTCAGGACTCCGTTGACCTGAGCGTGGACCGGGGCCTTGGCAGCAGCACAAAAGCTTTAGTCTTAGAAGCAATCTATATTAGTGCAGATAATAAACGTAAATTATCCAGCTGGTTTCTCTCCACCACGTTCTCCTCTGAAGCTGCAGTATTCTGGAGGCTTCGGCGCGTCCCGAGATGCGAAGGATGAAGCGTGCACGTACACCATCCGTCTTCCCCTGCCGTAATTTATTTATACCTTAATTAGATGCGAGCCATAGATTACCAGAAGGAAGCCTTGGGTTTTTTTCCCCTCCGTATGATGTGCCAGCAGCCTGCAAAGCGCTGCGTGGGCTTTTGCCTGTTGGAAGGTTGAAGCGGTTCCAAGGTAGCGGTGTGGGATCCTCCCTTCCCCACTGTATTCTTTTGTTGGGGGGGGGGAACCTCGTGTGTTTTCCCGTCCCGTTTGCTGCAGCCTTCCCTCTCAGGACGGCGCAGACGCAGCAGGGAAATCTCTAATCTGGGAGCTGCAAGCTGTCGGCTTAAGGAGCTTAAAAACAAAACCACCTCGGTTCCTCCCGTGCTGCTTTTAGCCTGTAAACATATGTTGTAAGAGCTGGGGGGGCACCGGGAAGGGTTTGTGCTGAATGTACTGAATGCTGTGGGGAGTGCAGCAGTGGTGCTGCCAAAGGGCCCGGCCTGCATCTCCAAACCTGGTGGCAATGCGGAGGGATGCCTGCTGCCCTCCTTGTGCCCAGCACCGAGCGGCAGGACCTGGTTTGCATTCAGCAGCCTTCCTCCGTTGTGGTGTGAGCACAACCAGGGCAGCACCTTTAGGGGGG